CCTTCCCCTCTGACAAACCCCCTTCTTTCCGAGGTCATATCTCAGACAGAACTATCATTCTTCTCCTGGCACCAGGAAGCTACTGTTGAAACAGGCTTAAGGGGAACAGCTTATTTGCATACATAAATGTGAAAATTTGCAAGAAGACAGACAGAGAGGAAAAGAGTGAGAGAGGCCAGGTGAATAAGTCTTCTGTTGGCCGAGGAGCTGCAGTACTGGAGGAGGGAGGGAAGGTGTTTTGCATATTAAGGTTTTTTTTGCTGGGCAGGTGTCTGAGAGATACAGGAGCTGATTAGAGTTTAGCACAAGGAAAATTTGCCCAGCCATGCAAATTCTAACCCCCCTGACAAACCAACCGCCTTGGTGAGCACGAAGACTCTGCGTGTAAGTGTTTGTGTGTGGCTTTTTGGTGTGTGTGTGTGTGTGTGTGGGTGTTATTTGTGTGTATGACCGTGTGTGATTGTGAGTGCGTGGGTTGTGTGTTTTTCGCTGTTTGATGTTTGTGTGGGAATGGTGTGTTTGTGTGTATTATGCATGTGCACGGACACATTTGTTATGTTTTTCGTCTTATATGTGCATGTGTGTGTGTGTGTGTGTGTGAGTGTGAGTGTGTGAAAGTGTGTGTGTGTGTGTGTGTGTGAGTCATAGAGGTAACATGGAGATGGAAATGTACTGGATGTGTATCAGGATGCCCCCAAGGCCCTTTTCTGTGGATCTCTCCCCTTTCTCCTCCACCACCACCACCTCCTCCTCCTCCTCCTCCTCTTCCTCCCCTACCTGCCTGCACCACCACTTGAAACAGGAGCCTACGCAGATTCAGCAAGCGCACACACACACACACACACACACACACACACACACACACACACTGAGTTTTCCCTTTGCCAGATTCTGCATCATCAAAGTTCCATCCACCTTGGTGGCGTCTTTGGAATGAATATGTCCTCTGTTTCAGTGATCACACACGCACGCACGCACGCACACACACACACACACACACACACACACACACACACACACACACACACGTACGTCTGTGGCCTTTCTTGTTTGATGCTAATCTGCTCTGTCACTGTGCTGGCCTAATACGCTCCCCATCTCCCTCCCAGCTCCTCTTTTGTCGCGATTGTTTCCCCTTTTCCTTTCATATCCCTCCTCCCTCGATCCCTCTCGTCGTTCTCTCTTCCTTCTGTTGCCTCTCTCCTTTCATTCTTTCATCCTCCTCTTTTGCATGTCTTCCGTTATCCCCCCCCCTCCTCCTCTCCCTCGCTTTTTCCCCCCATTAGGAAGTTTTAATGGCATAATTGTCACATTCCTTCTGGCACAATGAACACCAGCGGTAATTAAAGAGCTTGCCGTTAATTACCTAGACCCCGGCTCTACTTTCCTCTTTTCTCAGCCCCCCCCCCACTGATCCTCTCTCTTCTTCTCTTTCTTCTCCGCTTCTCATTCGCTCTGTCCATCGCCATCAAAGTCTTCCGAAAACACACCCGGCCTCCCAAAGCCTTGACTTTGAGCGAGCGAGCGCTTTCATGTGAGGACTCAAGTGAAAATTCTCGCTTAGTGTCCTTTTCTTTTTACTCCGCAGCCCCCCTTTGAACCCCCAATGACAACACACATCATCTTTCATAAGACAGGAATGTGTGTGACCTGGTAATGGGTTAGAGACAGAGAGGGAGGGAGAGGGAAAGAGAGAGGCAGTTTTATGATGGCTCTGGGAAACTCTCAGATTTCCATAAGACAGACTAGGCCAAGTTTCCTCTGTCAGTGACCACTCCTCCCACAGAGGACACACACACACTCACGCATACACTCATACATACACACACCTCGGCATTTAAAAGAGGAAGTCCCTATGATCTCTATGTGAGAGGGAGGTACCAGCGAACAAGGTGAGAAGCCTTCGTCCGCACACGCACACACACACACACACACACACACACACACGCGGGTATCGTGTGTCCTCCCTTATCAGCTGCTCTTTCTCCTATTAGAAAGACGTCTCACTCCTTTTGTTCCTCTTCCTCTTTTGTCTGTCCATCCGTCTGTCATCCCTCTATTTGAATTGATAACGCCCTTCTATAGACACGCACTTATCCACTGTGTTCTGACCAAAAAGTGACCAAATAATGAAAGTTTTTTTGCTCCCGTTCCCTCACCCAGCTCTCTTCCTTCTGCCTTTCCCTTCCATTATCCACTCTTTTTCTCCAGCTTTTCCTCCCGCTGTCTCTTCCTCTTCCCGCTGTCTCCCTCCTTCCCACTCTCTCGGTGTCTCTCCAACTCTCCATCCATTACTAGAGCCACAGAGAGCTGAGAGCAGATGCTGTCTGTCCAACCGCCGTGCCCCATAGCATTGTGTGCTTCACCTCTCCTTCCCCCCT